GGGCGGGAAGCGGCGGCCGCCATGAGCGGGACGGTGCTGGCCGGGACGCCCATCGCCGTGGATTTCTGGAGCGTGAGGCGAGCGGGCGGCGCCCGGCTCTTCTTCCTGTCGCACCTGCACTCGGACCACACGGCGGGGCTCTCCAGCACCTGGAGCCGCCCCCTCTACTGCTCCCCGCTCACCGCCCGCCTCCTGCACCGCCGCCTCCAGGTACGTGTCCCCGGTCCCCCTCAGCCCCTCACGGCCCCCACCGCCCCCGCCCGGCCTCACCGCCCGGTCCCGCAGGTGCCGACGCGCTGGATCCGGCCGCTGGAGGTTGGTCAGAGCCACGTGGTGGGCGAGGAGGTGACGGTGACGCTGCTCGACTCCAACCACTGCCCCGGCTCCGTCATGTTCCTCTTCGAGGGTGCCTTTGGCACCATCCTCTACACAGGTACAGCCGGGCCCCTGCGGTGCCGCCACCACTGCTCCTGCCTGCCCTGACACCCCTCTCCTTGCAGGGGACTTCCGCTATGCCAGCGCCATGCGGGGAGAGCCGGCGCTGCGGGGCCGCCACATCGACCGCCTCTACCTGGACAACACGCACTGCCACCCGCAGCGGCCCCTGCCCTCGCGGCAGCACGCCACGCGCCAGGCCGCCCGCCTCATCCGTGCCCACCCGCGACACCACGTCGTTATCGGTGAGTGCTGCCCTCACGCCGCCCTGCACCCGCCATCCCCGCCCTGCCCGGGCCGGGGCTCAACCCCGCGCTGCTGCCGCCGCCGCTCTCCCCGCAGGTGTGTACAGCCTGGGGAAGGAGGCGCTGCTGGTGGACCTGGCCCGGGAGTTCCGCACCTGGGTGGTGGTGAGCCCCTGGCGCCTGGAGCAGATGAGGCTGCTGGAGCTGCCCGATGTCTTCACCGACGAGGAAGGGGCCGGCTGGATCCGTGCCGTGGATGTCGCCGAGATCCGCTGGGATACCCTCGTCAGCTGGAACATGCTGCGCCCCACCATCGCTATCATCCCTACCGGCAGGCCCGTGAAGGTCACCCACCCCAACATCCACCTCATTCCATACTCGGACCACTCCTCCTTTTCGGAGCTGTGCGAGTTTGTGGAGTGGCTGAAGCCCTGCTCGGTCATTCCAATCGTGAGGGGCGGTGTGTGCCAGGCTTACTTTCAGAACTACCTAAGTTCTGCCCCCCAAGCACTTCCTGACCTCAAAATGCCGAAGCCCACGCAAGAGTCTGCGCAGCAGCAGAGCAGAGGGAAGGGGCAGGACCCCGCGTGTCTCTTGAAAAGAGCTGCCCGCCGTTCTGCGCCCCGAGGAGTTGTTTATGAGTCCCCAGAGAAATACACTGAGGAATCTGAAGACTCCACGGGTGTTAAGGCTCCTCAGCAGAACAAGTGTGAGTCAGCCTTCTGCTGGAAAGGAGGCTGTGCCTGTCACACGGGCAAGGAGAAGGGGGAGGCAGAGAGTGGAGAACAGCCAGGGGTGGCAGGAGCAGCTGGTGCTGCCAGCCAGACACCTCTCTCTGACCAACACGTCCCAACTGGGTTTGCAGAGCAGTATTTACTGACTCCCTTAAATGTCCTAAAGCAGAATTCCTCACAGAAATTTGACAGGCTGGTAGAAGACTTCTTTAGGAGGGGAGAAGCATCCTGAAAAATGGGAGACTTGACAGCGGTGATGGAGAGGTCTTACCGCCACATCCCATGCTCTGTGCTCAAGTTTTCCACCAGGAAAGAGGAGCTCAGCTATGGGGCTCTTCTTTCTTTACCTCTTATTAGAGGACAAGGAGGGAACTGTAACAAATTAGATTTTTATTTTAATGTATTTATTTTTATATCTCTGTTTACATCTGCTGGGTCTCCACACTACACTCGGGCAGTGCGGTCCCGCTGCGTGTGCCTTGTATCTGCTTCTTGCAGTGACTTACCTGTCTCCTGTGGCAAAAGATGCTGCCTGGATCTGAGCAGCAGAGGGTGTGAGCTGCCTGCAGCTGAGGTAATTAGTGGGGATGAAGGAAGCAAGAAAGGGGGAACCTGAGAGCTCCAAAGGTTCTTCTTTCTGCAGGTCTGTAGTGCTTCATTGACAATGAGCGGTTCACTCTAAGATGCATTATGAATATTTATATATTAAGGTCTATTTTAAAAATGCTGCTTGAAGAAATCTAGAAAATGAGTGCCTCTAAGTCTATTAATCTATTTTCTATCTATTTATCTAATAATACCTCCAGACAACAGTGCTTTTGTATCCAGCCAACTACAGCTGGATGCAGTTCTGTTCTTCTGAAAGCACCATTTTAATGTTAATTGTCATTGCTTTTTCAGGTTACTGGCTGGAAAAAATAGGAATTGTCTGGGTTCCTGAGTTCTAGGCTTTCCGGAATGGGTTACCAGATTCTCTGCACTCAGGTCTGCACGTCTGAATTCTGCTTGAGTGCAAAGAGCTTCTGGTAATGTTCTGCTGGGCCCACCCCACCGCCTTCCCACCCACTGCCCACTCTTGTCCCGTGGTGACAAATGGGATGGAAGGTAATGAAATGTCTGTTTAGTGGTGTAAAGTGCTTGGGCTGTGCAGCATTGTTTGGGAGGATGTGCTGTGGCTGAACACCAGAGGTGGCTGTGTTCTTAGAGGTCAGGCACGGCTGGGGTCCGCGCTGTGACGAGCCAGTGGGTGCCCAGGGTGGAGCCTGGAGTCATCCGTGCCAAACAGCACTAGCAGCCTTGCACTCTGGCTCCCCGTGGGGTGAAGGGGAAATGGTCACTAAGCACTTTCCTGGAACAACAAACCAGTTCCTCAGCTTGGTCTAACCTCTTTCTCGTTACTTTCAACACAAAATGTTTCATGGGATGTTGACCAGGATCAGAGTTTCTCCTGAATGTCGTGTCCTGCCAGGTCTCTCCACAACCAGCTGGATGAACTCCCTGAATCAGGTCAGAAAAGGGGGTGTTTGCTCTTTGGGTAACGCTCGGGCTTGTGGAGAGCAAAGGTGCCTGTAGATGCAGCAGCCACGCCTGGGAAAAACAAGGCTGTGCTGAACAGTAATCGTGATGACAGCCAGAGCGGGCATGTTTGGAAAGCTGTTTGGCAAACAGGAGCCTGATCTCCCAGCTCTGGGCCTTCCCAGGCCCTGCAGCATTTATCACTGTAAATTAAGCAGTGCCTGTGGCGGGGGCTGCCTGCGGACCCTGCTGCTGGGGGGACGTGGGGAGGGAGGGAGAAGTGTTCTGTGAAACTTCTGAAGGGGCAGCAAGGGCAGCTCAAGCTTCTTGCTGCTGTCTGGATGGCCCCGTCTCTTGGAGGTTTCTGTTTGGATTATTTGCTGATGAGAACTCAGCTGCAGAGCTCCATCAGGTCAGTGTGAGCGGAGGGACCTGCTTCTTTAACATCTGAGACTGCCAGGGAAGTAATGGTGCTGTGCTTGTAGTGTTTTGTCTGCTGCTGGCTGCCTTGGGGACGCAGGCTGTTATTTAAGTATTGTTGAAATTTAAGTGACTCACTTGACAGGCGAGTGCCTGAGCTCCCGGATTCCTCGTCCTGCTCTCCCCTGCAGCCTCTCCACTGCTCGGGAGGAATGTCTGCCTTCTGAGTCACTGCTCCATTTTGGTGTGTTGCAAATCTGGTGCGTTTCACTGCTGATGGTTTGTGGCATCCAGCCTTCCCTCTCTTATTCTTATTAACCATTATCAATCATTTATTCAAGTAAACGAAGTAGAGAGCCTCCTGGTGAACCTCTGGGCAAAATGGAGTTGTAAATAGTAATCCTTTACAGAGGCAACTGATGTTTAGAGAACACAAAAAGTGAATCTTGCAGAGACTTCTGAAGCTGGGATCTGCACCCCATTTCTGAATGCCTAGTTAAAACTGCAGAAGAAATGCTGGCTTCTGTTACTAGAGCCTAAAGGGTAATTCCCGCCACTTCAGAAAGAAATTATCCAAATCATATCGCGCCAAGGAAACCTCAAATCTCCATGGTTTTCCAAGGCAACAGAAATGGGAGAGACTTGGCCAACAGTCAGCATGTTGAAGACCTTTGCCTCAGCGCAACAGGTGCATGAGGTGTTTCAGAGTGCCACATTTCCTCCCTCTCTTGGGTCTTAAAATACTACTTTTGTGTGTTATTGTAAAATCCTTGAAAACAAAACGTGGCCTTGTGGGGAAATCTGGCAATATAGTATTGGTGAGCTCTGAGGTTTTGGAAAATCCTTCGGCTTCCCCCGAAGTCTTGGGGCAGTAAAGAGCTGGCCTCTTACAGCCTTGTTCTACCTCATGTTTGCTACAGCTCCTCACCATCACTGGTGGGAGCAAAGCACCCCCGTGGCAGCAGTGCTGGCAGCAGCATGTTCAGCCCCTGGTGTAGGTGACACCCCAGCTCCCTGTGAGCCAGGCTGGTGGCAGGAAAAGGGGAAACTTTGGAGGCAAAGTGTTACCTTGAGCCTGGGCTATCGAAGGGCTACGTGCTTAGAAAGTTAAACTTCTCCCAGCAGGGGAAAAACACCAGTGCTCAGACCAAAGCCTTCCCAAATCTCTAGCCACAGAGCGTGCCTGAGCTGCTTATCTCTGTTCCACAGCTGGGAACCCAGCCCCAACGAAACAACTCACCCGTGGCCTCACGGAGCAGCAAGGAGGGAGCCGAGTTCCTTTTGGCAGGTTCTTAGCTCTGTTTTAACAAGCTGCCATCAAATTGCCAGCATGTGGTGAGGGCAGGGCAGGTTGTTCTGGGAGCAGGGCTGCCTGTTGAGCTCCTTCCATGCAGGTGCCTGCAAAAATTCAGTGGCCATACTGGGAACCAGCCCAGTTGGCTCTCTCTTCTCTGAAAGAGTAGAAAACCATGAAAGGGGGGTGCTGTGGAGAGGAGGAGGACTCCGTAGGTTTAGTTGCTGCCAAGAGACTGTTTGCTGAGCTCGTGAGCTCCACAGCAAAGAAGCGTGTGCTGTGGGTCCGTGGGGTGCCCCCCGCAGCGCTCGGCTCCGCCGCGTTTCATAGACTCATAGAATTGCCCAGGCCGGAAGGGACCTCCAAAGGCCATCTAGTCCGACCCCCCCGCAGTCAGCAGGGACACCCCCAACTAGACCAGGTTGCCCAGGGCCTCGTCGAGCCTCTCCTTGAATATCTCCAGGGAAGGGGCCTCAACCACCTCCCTGGGCAACCTGTTCCAGTGCTCCACCACCCTCACAGTGAAGAACCCTCTCCTCATCTCCAGTCTAAATCTGTTCTCCTCCAGCTTGAAGCCATTTCCTGTCTTTTAGAATTTAAGTCAGGGTCACCTTTTAGCAATTGAAACAGAGGGTGCAGATCTTGTGTGGTGATACCCAGAAAAGGTCTGAGCCAGTTTATAGTTCCCAACAATTTTTGCAGATCATTCAGAGTCTTTATTTGTAATACCAGTTGCAGTGCTTGTGGCTGGATAGTGTGAGTTGTAATCTTACATCCTAGGTATTTCCAGGGTGGTTCACGTTGGACCTTTTCCTCAGCTATCTGCAAGCCTGTTTCTTGGACAGCAAGGAGGACTTGGCAGACGACTATCTGCAGGTCTTTGTCCTTTTCAGCAGCTATAAGTATGTCGTCCATGTAATGATAAATTATAACATGAGGGTTTGCATTTCGGACAGGTTGTAAAGCATTTGCTACAGTTAATTGGCAGATAGTTGGGCTATTTAGCATACCTTGTGGCAACACGGTCCAATGATATCGTCGTGTGGGCTGTTCCTGATTGACAGCTGGTACAGAGAATGCAAACCGTGGTGCATCCTTTGGGTGGAGAGGAATAGCAAAAAAGCAGTCTTTGAGATCAATGATGGCTATTGGCCAATTTTGAGGCAGCATAGAAGGTGAAGGAAGACCAGGCTGTAGCGCACCCATGGGCTCAATGACTGCATTTATTGCTCTAAGATCATGTAACAATCGCCATTTGCCACTTTTTTTAGGTATTACAAACACAGGAGTGTTCCACGGGCTGGTGGTAGGCACAATGTGACCAGCGGCCAATTGTTCTTGTACTAAGTCATGCAAATGCAGCAGTTTATCCTTTTTCAGGGGCCATTGATCTACCCAAACAGGTTTTTCTGATTTCCATGTCAATGAAAGGGTCTGCTGCTTGTCAATAGCCCCTATTGAAAATTTGTTTTCAGGAAGATTCCCCATTGGCTTAGCAAGTCTCGGCCCCATAACGTACAAGGCACTGGGAGGACGTAAGGAGCTGCTTGTGCAACCCGACCATCAGGTCCCTTGAAAGTTAGTATCTTTGCACTTTGTTTGGGTTTCTGAAGACCTCCTACCCCCACAATTCAGCGCTAGTCTGAATTGGTCAAAGGTTGGGCAATGACTCCGCTTAAGGCGTTGATCCATTCCTGCTGCTCCAGGTCGTTGTCACACATAAACACAAACACTCTCTCTGGTGTGACCACAGTGATCGCTGGTTTCGTCTTCTCCACCCGGACTCCCTCGGGGAAGCCAGCTCGCACTTTGTATCCCTCATCCATCGTTCCAATAAAAACCTGGCCCTGTGCAAACGCATCCAGCGGATCTTTAAAGTACAGCAGGGTCCTTTTTTGGGAGTCCAGGGAGAACCAGCGCTCCTGAAAGGTCTCCGTTAGTTTTGGTCCAGTTTTCTCCATATATCCTTCTTTGACGTAACTTCTTGTGATCCTGGGTATGAGCTCAGTCTCAGGGAGAGCTGGGAAGGATGTTCTGAGATAATAGTAATGTGCTGCTCAAATGGCATTGAACCAGTCAACGAGCTCCTGTCCACTTTCATGATAGACAAAAAGGTTCCTTGTTTGACCATCTGCATTGTATGTGATCTGCAGCCCATAAGCGTGTTGCGTTTTCTGTGTCTGTTCTTTTTGACATTTGTCCCACACACCGTGACAACCATTCAAAAGGGTTAGGTTATTCCCCACTGCCTCTGCCTTTTCATTATCAAAAGGAGGTAGATTAGGGTCTGGGTCTGGGTCTGTCCGCCCAGGATCGAAGGACTCTCCTGAGAGACTCTCCTCTGCACCGCAGGTGTTGTCTGCGGTGGCGGTGGCGGGGCAGAAGGACTCGTTAGGCTCTCCTCAGAGGTCTTTTCTGTCTCTTTGTGGAGCTCTGCTAGGGCTGCAGATACCACCCGCCACACTACTAAGTGTTGAGCTGCAGCTTGATCTATCCCTGCTGCCGCGTCCCAAAGCTTTTCACCAATTTGCTCCCACACCTCTTTGTCAAGGGTGCCGGTCTCAGGATAGCCTGGAACATTTTTTCGTACCCAGTCTAAGAAAGTTATTAAGGACAGGGTAGGTACAGATCGGTTTTGAGCTTTTAAAATACACTGTAATACTTCTAGATCCCTTTGCTGCTCTGTGGGCAGTGTGCTGCCCTGCTCCTCTCTCAGCAGAGTGTTCCCCATTGTTCCCGATCGCTCACCTCTGTCCTGCAGAAGGCGATGAGCCGGCGGTGAAGAAATCCTGGAGGCAATCCCTGGTTCCATCGGGCTACGCTACTGCTCCGGACGGCTTTTCCGTCCCCTGATTAATGCCCCACGTTGGGCGCCATTTGTAGCATATGGAGGCACGGACCCCGGTCGGTGATACAACCAGAATCCTTTATTATAACTAACAGGCAGCTTATATAGTATCAGTGTCTATTCTTTCCCAACACTCCCCTGCAACCCCCAACTGCCAGGCAGGTGGAATTCCCCTCCACCAGTCAGGG